CACTTACCTGCTCAGTTTTTGTGCCACGTATACCCAGAAAGAATTAAGAAGTTTGATAAAAGGAAGAAAGAGGTAGTAATGAGTAGGAAATAGAAAGTGGATACCACGATGGGAAAATCTGAATCCTGAGACATCCCTAAAGGAGGATGTAAATTTGAGTTTGTTTTTAGAAGTAAATTTTATACATGAATTGTAAAAACAGTGAGCTTTGTAGAAAGCAGTTTTAAGTAGGCAGAAATGCAATTCTCTAAAAATGGTGATTCATGCAAACTGTGATCAGGACAGAGAGCTGATAAGAAAACACTAGTGCGAAGAACTTGGGCCCTTCTAAGGAGATGTTGTAATACCATTGGATCTCTGTTAAAGATTGGTAGCATTATGAAGATGTTACAGGATAGCCTACTAATGCTATGCAGACCTATTGGAATGGCAGTGAGTTGATTCCTTTTTGGTTCCTTGCGGTCACTTTTTGCTTGTTTTTCCTCCGTTGTCAGGCTACCCTGAACGCCAGGACCTCCATTTTGGCTGCAGCAAACCCAGTTGGCGGGCGCTATGACAGGTCCAAGTCACTGAAACAGAATATAAACCTGTCGGCTCCCATCATGTCTCGATTTGATCTCTTCTTCATTCTAGTGGATGAATGTAATGAGGTAATTTTAAGGAATTATAGAATGATTTACATCAGAAAGCCTTTCTGGAGATTTCTACTCCAACTCCAAGCTTAAAGAAGACCACTAAGAACAGATTGTCAGGACCTTGACTTGATGAGTTTTGATTATCTCCAAAGATGGAGATTCTGCCACCTCTATAGGCCTCTGCTTCAATGTTTAACAATTATTATATGTTTGAGATTTAAAAAAACAAACAAACAAACAAAAACCCCGAAAGTATGCCTGATCAGAATTTCTTGTCCTCCAGTTTGTCTGTTGCCTCTTGTCTTAGTCTGTACTTCCAAGAATAATCTGGGTCCATCAATCTGCACCCTCCAGTTAGGTGTTTGTTTTGTGTTATGGCTGCTGAACAGCCTCTCATTATATTTGATGCTCTCAGTTTGTCTCCATACCTCACCTGTCTCTGCCCCATGACCATCTCTGTGGGCCCCACTGAGCAGTTTTAGGTGAAACTAGGAGGTCTCCTGAGAACCTCCCTCTTGTACTTTTCTTCTCTCTCTAGAAAGCCATGACTGTCAGTACACATTTGAACATACCCTGCTGAATACAAGGATGTTGCCATTTCATTTTGTGCTGATTTAACCTGCAAACTTGAACACCATTAGTCATTGTTGAAAATAGCTGGTTACTATGGTGAAGATTGCTACCACCAGGCTATGTGATGTTGGCCTTGGGAACATGTGAGATACAGAGATTAATGTTGGCTCAGTACTTCTCTCTGTGCTCTTTTGCTGGGAGTGGTTATCTAATTGAAAAGGGACTGTTTAAAGAGACAAAGTAGGCTGAAAAGGAAGCAGTTCCCACGCTGTAAGTGTTGCTTTCTACTGTTGCTTTGGCTATCTTGTAACCCAGGAGAGTTGAAACTGCCTTTCATCCTTTCTTTGGTATTTTTCCTCATATTAAAAACCCAGGACATTCTCCAGGGTCTTCTGGTAGAGAATCTTGCTTCAGGGAAAACTAGCCCTGCCATGGGGAATGCAAGTAAGGGAGCAGGATGGGAAGGAAGAAATAACCTGTTGTTTTTATATGTGGCTGATGTTAAAGTGATCTAACAGAGCAATAATGTCCCAGGTTACAGATTATGCCATTGCCAGACGCATAGTGGATCTGCATTCCAGAATAGAAGAATCTGTTGATCGGGTCTATTCCTTAGATGATATCAGAAGATATCTACTGTTTGCCAGACAATTTAAACCGAAGGTAATTCTATTTCTCATCTATTAGTACAGTATACTGTATGGAAAGGTCCAAAAAAAAGTTATTCAGCAAATTGCTTCCTTTAGGCAAATGTAGTTTACTCCTTATTATATAGCAGTAGTTTCAGTTATTATCTAGATATGAAGTATATTTTGAAGGCCAGGTCTCCAGAGTTCAAAAGAATACATGACAACTCAGCTGAGACTGTATTATAATAAGGGATCCTGGTTGCTTTGGTGGTGGTTTTTAACCGCTGTCTAGAGCACCTGATAGGTGCTTTTGTAGCTCTGCCTTATCTCAAGGCATGGAGTGTTTAATGTAGCTGCCACAGAGATTTTTGTATTTTACTGGCCAACTGCTTAAGACTTGTCTTTGTTGCAAAAGGATGTTGTCCCTCTGTATTTCTTTACCTTCTTCATTGTAAATGCAGAATATGGGAAACTAAGTACAGATTTTTGTGGTCTGTCCAAATGGCAGGTTGCATGGGCTGTGTCACATCTTTCAGAAGTTTTTCTACTGTAGTGCTTCTCAAATGCTAGGAGAGAGGACATCCTCCCTTACACAGAGCAACCTGTATCCTAGGGAAGGCCAAAGGAATTCATATAATAATTCCATGTCTTCCCTGCTCTGGATAACAAGGAGAAGGCAGAGACTGGCAGGGCAGGTCAAGATAAGGCCTTATCTGACTTTCATAGTCAGTGTTAATCAAATACCTTTTGGACAACAATTGATGTTAATGCTGTTAGATTAATTATAATGTTATTGTTATTGTAATCATATTATTGTAAAACAGTTGCTGTTTTGGAACAATTGATGTTAATGTTGTTAGATTAATTATAATGTCATTGTTATTGTAATCATATTATATTATTGTAAAACAGTTGCTGTTTTGTGTAGCATGTTGGACAGTAGACTAAAAATGGCAGCTAGTATAGAACAGTGATCTAATGGGAGAAGCATGAACTTAATATTTTTTACATGGCAAGCTGTTAAACTGTCTTATGTCAAATAGATATCTAAGGAATCAGAGGACTTCATAGTGGAGCAGTATAAAAGGCTACGTCAGCGTGATGGCTCTGGAGTGACAAAGTCGTCCTGGAGAATCACGGTGCGGCAGTTGGAGAGCATGATCCGGCTGTCCGAAGCCATGGCCCGGATGCACTGCTGTGATGAGGTATCACTTCTGTATTAGCATTGCAGGTGTTCTTGCTTTGCTGTGTGCTGCAGTATTGTGTGTATTTTAATCCTCTGGGTGGGCAGGAGAGCTTGGATGTTTTCATTTGTGAAACCAATCATACTCTATCTGAATTTGTATTCCAGAAATACTGTTTTCAAGGTGTGTCAGTTGGTCTAAAACGCAAATATTTATCTTCTTGCAGATAAATATGTCAGCACTTTCAGCCAGTCTAATTATACCAGTCAGGAAGAAATAATTTATATTGATATCAGGCAGGGCTGCTGACAGTGTCTCTTGTAATCTCATAATTTGTAATGTCACGCGTCTCTTTCTCATCTGTAATCTAAAAAGTCAAAGTCCCTCAAGGCAGCTGAACCTCCCTGAGAAAATGCAAAGAGATAGTCAAGCACATACTTGTGACCTGAGCTCCTCGTCTCAAGCACTGCTGAGATGTAGTGATGTGTGATGAATTGTTTGACAGTTATCCGCCTACTCCCTGCTTCAAGATGTAGAGGACTTTTAAGGGTTGCAAATGACACCACAGTGGTACTAAATCGCTCTCTGGTTACATGAGAAAGACACCTGCTGGGTACATTTTAGTTAAATTTAGCTTAGGAAGAAACAGGCAGCTTATGGCTCAACTCTAGGGGACCTTTTCTTTTTTTCTAAATCCAGAGGAGCTTCTTTTAAAAGTAAACACTTTTTCTTATTTCTGCTCAAACCCGCTCCTTTTCATGTCTTGTACCTCAGTGATCTTTCTTAAAGTAAAAAATATTATCTTAAAAATATATTTTATATATACATAAAATATATATGTTATTTATATTATATTTATGTAACAACTCTTATTATGTATAAAATATATATTTTTGCTTAAGTAAAAATATTGTCCATATGGTAGTTAAGGCCTGAAAGGTTCATCAGGCTGCTTCATCCATAATGTTATGTGAACCGGGAGTCGCACATTTTAGCAGGAGGTAATTTGCCTTGCAGACTTATGGTTAATTGGGTGAGAGGAGTAGAACACCAGCTCGGCAGACTCTGGGATGAGTTTCTGAAGCTGTGAGAGGAAATATGCATGGTGGCTGTTCTTGTATTAAAGGCTTTTTTAATACATGCATTTTCAAATCTTTTCCAGGTTCATCCAAAACATGTGAAGGAAGCTTTTAGGCTTTTAAATAAGTCCATCATTAGAGTTGAGACTCCTGACATCAATTTAGACCAAGATGATGAACAGCAAATGGAGGATCAAGAGGACCAAGGTGGAGTCAATGGTAAATCACTTGCAGACACCTTTTGAAAGAGGAAAAGGGCTTCCAGCCTGTTATAACTTAAATTGCATACATATTTCTCTTTATTTCTCACCTATTGCTTCTCCTTCTGTACCCCTCTAACTAGTAATGCCTGGAGTAGGAGTCTAGAGTTTTTATGCCTGTTCTGGACTCTTTGAGCTTCCTTATGGTCTCTGTTCACTTTGTTGGTCAATGCAAGATGTTCTTGTGACTCGCAGAGAATTTAAGACAGTTAAAAGACATTGCAAAGTTAAACCTGGCCATGTGTTCAAACAGGTGAGGCGGAAGCTCCAGCTGGGGTCAATGGTCTTGTGAATGGGATCGGTGGCCATCCTGAGGACGTGAGCAAGGACGCTGCACCCAAAGCTTCTCTTAGACTGGGCTTCTCGGAGTACCGGCGGATTTCTAATCTCCTTGTGCTGCACCTCAGGAAAGCAGAGGAAGGTAACAATTTCTTTATTAGAAAGATGACGCAGGAGAACTGTCGTATTATAGCCTTCTGTACAAAACATGCCGATTTAAGAAAAAGAAGAAAATCTGATAGGCTAGTGTGTGTTTCTCTTTCAAGCAAGAGTTTTAAGTTATTGTTCAAATATATGTCCTTTTCTCTAACAGTTCCATTGTTGTATTATGCTGCTGTGTTTATGCAAATTGTGTGAATTGGCATTGTCATTAGATTTTCTTTTCTATCTCATTTGCAGAAGAGGACGATTCATCATTAAAGAGAAGTGAACTTATTAATTGGTATCTAAAGGAAATTGAATCTGAAATAGAGTCTGAAGAGGAGCTTATAAACAAAAAGAAAATCATAGAAAGAGTCATTCATCGACTTACACATTATGTATGTACATGGATACTGAAAGGGAATTTTAACTTAGGAATATACTGCATTAAAAACCAGATGTGTGGATACTGAAAAGGAGTTTTAACTTAGGATTCATTTTTAATGCAGTATATTCCTAAGTTAAGAAATGTCATATTGCTAACTGATGCAGTATAAATGCTTCCTTTATTTAAATCTCTGTTAAAAATAATTACAGAGAAAACACTAAAATACGTTAGAGATAAATGTGTATGGAAAAAAGTTTAGAATCCTTACAGAAGTGTGAGTGGTATTTTTCTGCGCTTCTGTAGTATTATACATTAGGACTAAAAATGCACTCAATTTCAGTAGTTAGTTTTAAGCTTTATTCATAGAGCCTTATTTAAAACAGTTCTGTGAGGGGAAAAGTTATTCTTTTCCAGGATCAAAGCATTTACATGCACAGAAGTTACTGATTTCAGGTTTTGTATTCGAAGTGTGGGAGTACTAGGGCAGTTCGGAGGAGAAAATATCAAAATATAAAATGGGCAAAATATTCTTAATTTTAAAGATACTGAACAGATAGACTGAAATGTTCCCAGAAAGTATGCTGTGTGGAAGAGGTTTTCACTGAAGATATTTACTAAGATAGGAACTTATTAAAAAGGGAGCTTACAGTTAAAAGGATTAAATAATTCATCAGCAGGAGGTGCCCCCAGATGGCTTCTAAAAATTAGATATAGTCTTTTTTGTTCTTGTCTGATTCCTGGTTGTTATTTGTTGCAGGACCACATTCTTATAGAACTGTCCCAGTCGGGACTGAGAGGCTCAAGAGAAGAGGAGACTTTTGATGAAGATCCATACCTGGTTGTCAACCCTAATTATCTGCTGGAAGACTAAGGCTTGAGAACTGACTAGTTATGTGTTGGAAAGTGCATTCTCTCTAAATTTTTGCGATAGTTGCTATATAGCTAACATCTTAAATTCGTATGAATGCTTTACTGTCAAATGGACCAATATGTGGTTAGTAATATATGATTGTTCATATACATTGAACTTATTTGGAATATTTTTAAACAAATGACATACTAATGAATTGGTTTCGCTACTTGTTCTGGGTATCACTGCAGTCATCTGGATGCAGAGGAGAGTCATTCAATACCTGTTTTCTACATTAAGCTGTGTAGATGCTTTTGTTTTAAATGAGAAGAATTTTGCATTATTCTTCTACTGTATTTAGTAAACTTTTTATGTCATGGTTTTTCACTGTTTTTTCTTATGAACATAAATAAAATATTGTTAAATGTCTACAGATGCCTGGGGTGGCTTTGTTGTTTGTGGTGTGTGGGTTTGCTGTTTTCATTGCCTGTGCTTTAATGCTAAAAAACTAGCAATCTGAATACATACTATTTTATGGAATATTTGATCTTCTGGATGACACATGCTGTTTTTAGGAAAGTTTTTAAAACTTTCTAGAACTACTAAAGGATAATGATAAAATTTGATTGCTTCTCTCTGTTTCGAGATGGTCTTTTTGTATATGCTTCTGCTGAACTTTTAAAATAGAACATTGGAAATAGCCAAGGCCAAAGCAGAGTTTTAGGCTAGGAGGGCAAAACCTCTGTCTTCTGTGAATGCTTTAACTTGTAAGTGAATTGCAAGGTGGCATGATTTTGCAAAGTTTTTATTTAGTAAGTTTGCAAAATTATTCTCGTACTTTCATAGAAGAAAATATTTTATTTGCATTTTTATTTATCTCCTTTATGTACTGTCATTCTTTTTACCTGAATGCCTTATCTATGTGATACCAACACCTAAAAATATTTTAAGCACATGAAAAATACAAAAACTATATATGCTAAGTGTAAATATGAAGTAACTGCTTCTCAAGCAGGTTTAGACATAGAGCTGTTTAAGATGGTCTTTTTTCTTTTTTTTTTCTGTTAGCAGCTCCTAGCCTTGCAATAGAGAGAGGATTAGCTCAGAATCTTATTACCATTACTGGACCACTACCCAGCGAGCTAATAGATACTTGCCAGCAGGTAAAGAGGGATTTGTCTGTATAGCCTTTTTCACAGCTAATTTGTGAGGGGGTTAAATTATCATTTACAGGGGGAAGAGTTTATATTTGGCCAGCACAGGAAAAAAATGCCTGCATAAATGCATGAATTTCCAGTTTATCTGATTATAAAATGTACAGTAAAATAAGGACCAACATAACTGATTTGGAAACTAACTTTTTTTTAGCTAGACCATAAGCACATTAGGCAAACTTATCAGCAAGCATGCATTTTAATAGAGCAATTCTCTCTCTTTTTTTTTTTTTTTTTCTTTTTCCTGTTCCTTTTGTTACACTAAAAGTTATAGTTGGCATTGAGGGCCATTTCAATGTTGTTATGAAGCCATATGTTGTACCTTAAAGTCCTGAGAATTTATTGTTTGCAAACTAACCTGAGGTGATCTAGGAGAGTTAGAGCTGTGTTTGTGATCATTGCTTCATTTATCTCTGTTTCAAAATATGATTCATTAGGTAATATTCAGCTCCAGTCTGAAAACTAATATTTCAGAATAGTGCTGTCATTTTGAGGGAACACTGTGCTTCCCGTATCGAACATAATCAGGAGGATTCCCTACCCTCTGCCCTCTCCCTTGATTTCTTATGTGCCCCGTAGAATTAAGGCTTTTTCCCTTTTCCAGCACATCCTGCATCTTAGACAGCTGTGTTAGTAAGGCTGGGAAGAATGCTCTTCCTTCTCTCCATGTGCCCAACTGATGTCCTGTCTTTCACCTGGAAAACCTTGTGGCGTTAGGATTCAATTCCATTGTTGAGAATGCTTCAGCAGTTTTTTTTTTT